GACGGAACTAATAATTACAGACGCACAAAGTTCGCTAACAAGAATCCAAATGCAGATTATGCGGTAGAGAGAATTAAAGAGTAAATAAATAATGCATTATGGCGCGAAATATGATACCTCCTATTCATTCTACGTGTCTCGTTTTATTAAAGTATATTGAGGTTGCTAAAGAAGACAGCTGCTGAAAACCGAAAATTCACAGCCTTAGGAAGTGTCAAAGAAAGGGCTCTCCGTGCTTGCCGGAACTTGATACTCTGACAACTTTTGAGATATAATCCCTTCTGTCTCATTAGACTATTTACTTAACAATCAGTTTAAATTGAAACGCTGATTGTAGTAAATTAAAATAAAACGTTAATGTTGGGTGCTATTGTTATGCTTTCTCTAAGAAGGAAGATGAGTTGATATCAGTTATCAACTTATTTTCGGTTCGTCAATTCTTTATTCATAAATCCTCATTGATCAGCTTTAGTCACGTGCAGTGTCCCCTTATCCTGTTCATAATAATCATGATCTTCTTCTTATTCTTCTACGCTTTAGAGCAGTGATATTCAACCTGGGGTACGCGAAGACATCTTAGGGAGTACGTGAAATTTAAAAAAAATATATTATTTTATGATGCACACTGAATTATCAGTAATGTAATTTATTTAATTTATTTTAGATGTAGATTATATACGATGTATAACTTGAATTACACATCAACAACTTTCGGGGTACAAAGTTGAAGAGAAATTATATCTGGGGGTACGCGAACAAGAAAGGTTAAATACCACTGCTCTAAAGCAGATATAATTTCTCTTCAACTTTGTACCCCCAAAGTTGTTGATGTGTAATTCAAGTTATAAAATTTATATCCCCCATATACGTTAATAAGAAAGAGGGCGTCTAGGTGACTCCTCATAGAGCCAAGAGTGTGAAAATGCAGGCGTTCTAAAGCAGTGGTATTCAACCTCTTTTTTTTCGCGTACCCGCAGATATAATTTCTCTTCAACTTTGTACCCCCAAAGTTGTTGTTGTTGTACAATTCAAGTTATACATAGTATATAATCTACATCTAAAATAAAGAAATAAATTACATTACTGATTATTCAGCGCTTATCATAAAATAATATAAATTTTTTTTTAAATTTCACGTACCCTCTAAGATGTCTTCGCGTACACCCGGGGGTACGCGTACCCCAAGTTGAATGCCACTGCTTTAGAGAATACAAAATTATTCTGTTCCGCCTTCAACTTTCGTCTTTCTTCGACGACCATAATCTCGTTTTTCTTTCAATGCACAATGAAAGAATTATTTTGTTATTCTTAAGTCATCTATTCTTTACATTTATTCTATTCCCTGGGTCCTGCATTCTTTCTTATTCCTGATCTTGTTGTGAAAAGAGTAAAGGCGTCCCATATTTACTTAAGCTTGGCTCAATTTTAAAACTTTGAAAATTAACATTTGAATTGGGCCAATTAGCAAGAAAAACTAATTTGTTTAGTGTAGATTCAAAACTTATTACTGAATTTAACTTACCACAAAGTTAAAATATCACAGTATTACTAATGTTATCTGGTTGGGAATGTAAAGTTGTTGTGGTTAATTTGACACACGCCATGAAAAAGTTAAATATGACTAATTAGGAACACGTCATGAAAACATAGATCCACGCATTCTTACCCTACAGCCAATGTATTTTAATTTATAAAAACTGTATTTGGTTAGTTAAAGTAAGCACGGATTATAGACTGTGAATAAAAGCTGCCCGAGGCATGGCGTGAAACTGATGAACATCTGTTGACCGGTACGAAAATTGGTATCAAGTTAGGTGAAGAGAAGACCACTGTAATGGCGATGATATTCCTTTGAGGCAGGCAATCTGAACTGTGACATCTCTACAGCAACAAAGCGAACAAGCTATGTTTGTATTTTGTAACCTCTGGTGCTGCACCTGTGAATCACCACACTGTCATTTCAAGCTTTGTTTACATGCAGTTTACTGCTTATCTGTCCCTGTTTAAATTCAAACACTGACCACCACTGGCGACAAGCTTTCACTCTAACCGCGGTTTGTTCATCCACAATACAACCATAGTTCCAAATTTCTTTGCTTCAAGTCGCAATTATCACAGATTACTTATACAGGCAACTCTCAGTTTACGAATGAGTTCCGTTCCAAGACGTTGTTCGTTATGCGTATCTTGCATTCCTGAGCTTTTAGGATACGTATCGTATACTTTAAATTCCATGCCACTCCTTCATTTCAAATTTCAATTCCACTTTGATATTACTCTCCCGTCAAAAGGTCTCTTTCATGCGAGTAATCTCATCTTTCCCATTCGTGCTAGGTGCCCCGCCCATCTCATCCCTATTTATTTTGATAAATAAGGATGATAATAATATTTGGAAACGTCCGAACCATGGAATCCCTGACTGTGCAGTTTTCTGCAGCCTTTTTGGTCCAGATATTATCCCAGTTTCAGAACCTGGCTCAGAGACTGGCTGTCCTGCCTCAGTTCTAATTATCATTCTTTATTATTGTCATTTATTTTAAATTTATTCATTATTTGAAACATATTAATAACTGTGGGTGAGGCTGCTTCGTCCGCAGACTTCCGGCGCAATTGCTGCCAGCAAAAAACCGTTCCACGGCAGACAGAAATTTGCTAGATGCAGTTGGCCCTGTGGATCAAGATTTCATTTCTCCTGCCTTAAAATGAGCGATCCTGATTATTCGATTCTAATGGCTCGGCTCAATGGAGCTAGCACACATGAGATTATCAAGAATCTTGTTCAGATGGTTTTTAAACTTTCTGAAGATGTGCAGCTACTTGGGAAAGATGACGAATAACTAAAGTATCATTTGAGCAAAGTCGCTTCCAGTGCATCTACTCCCTCCCGCAGGATCTGCAATGAAACCAGGGGCCAAGTACCTTAGTTTACAAACACCCGGCTCATTGTTCTGCTAAGATGTCCACTGTCTTTACTTCTTCAGACACGTAGAAGCAAAATCATTGACATTGATTTCACGTCAGCGCAATGAATCGGCTGTTTATGTACTGAAAATTTGTGAGCAAGCAGAACAACATAAGCGAGGCTACAAAAACACTGGCATGCTGTAGTTATTTTCAAATTTTAACTCGAATACGGCGATCCGATGCGTCCCAAAAATGTTACCCCTTATACCGGAAACGTTAAAAAAAGCCACATTCTAATTTCATTGGTTCCAGTCGCCGCCACTGCGACTGTTCTTAGACAACCGTCATTCCACATCTGGAAGGAATTAGTTTCCGCCTCCTAAACAACTTTTACGAATGCGAAAGCTTTGTGAATGCAACGTCGTCGGTAGACGGAAAGCCTGAAAGAAACACGTTCAAGCCACTGAGTGTCTCCATTCTCTAACTAGATGGCTTACCGAACCAGAAGGTTCATCACCGAATCAACCAAAGCCCTCCACCGGACCCTGTCCTGGGCCAACAAAATCCGGTCTCCTTAAACTCCTATCTTCCATAGATCCTCCCATCTACGTCTAGGTCTCCCCAGCGGTCTCTTCCCCTTAGGCTTACCGACCAATACCGTCTTGCCACATTTTCGAACGATTTATTAGCTAATTTTTTGTTACGGTTTTACCCTGCATTCTGGTGACGAGGAATGAATATGTAAGATCTACTTACTCTTCAGCGTTTACTTCTATATCAACTTCCTTGCTGGACTCTAACTCTTTATTAGCCGAAAATAATTAGAATTTAGGAAAATAAAACACGTGAAGAAACGACGAAGTTGTGTCAGACTACAGCAAGGAAACGTATCTTCTGTTAACTGCCTTATTGATATGTTACTTTATGATGGCCCTTGCCTGTCACAAAAGACGTAAGAAAGGGGTGAGACATATGACTAGTTGCGGGAATTGCAACAATAAGCTCCGATGTCAGTAGCAAAAGGTACTGACAGAGTAGCAACACATTTGACGGAAAATGTCATTGCTGTAAAATGAATTCTTCTCCGGCTACCAGTCATATCAGGCGGTTTAATGGAGAAAACACCAGCGTCTCAAGATCCATCTTTGTCCCTGTCCTCAGGGTACTGAAGTTGTAGGAGACGGTTCTCAAAACGTTGGTGTTTTCTCCATTAAACCACGTGACTCAGCTGATAGCCCTAGAAGAATTCAATATACTTAGTTGTCGTGAAAGCCTCCGCTCATATGTCATGGCTATAGTGAAGCCAGAACAGTCTGGCGTGTTGACCTGGTGCCTTTCTGAGTCCTGGGATGTCACACTGGCTCTTATTTGTAAAATTAGTGATGTCTCATATTGACAGTGTGTCCTAAGGGCAAGGGTGGTTGTGAGCCCTTGCATAAAATATGATATAGATAGTTTGTTCCTCTAAGGTGAGACGACTACATTCGGCTCTGGAGATTTGACGGAGAAAACTTCGAGGTGGGTGCGCATGCGGACTGATTTGGGCTGGACTCTTCTCGCCAGCGCACGGACTCACTCAGACTGTAGCTACGGATCCGGTCGGCAACGTCTCTCCGGCTGGGCCCCCCCTTCAAGGCTACCGTGGTTTATATTTTGTTTTCATGTTGTAGTTGCCCGTCCAGAAGGTATTTATTTTGTTGTGTTGGTGGACGGGGCAACTACCGTGTTGTTTTCGGTTATTATTGGTCCCTCGGGGTGGTCAAGGCCGGGGAGATGAATTTGAGGGTTGCTGAGAGCGAGCCGAGTTGTGAGGCTTTTGGTTTGTTCTTGTATGTTTGTTTGTGAGTTTCTTTGTTCATAGTAGGGCAATATATGACCCCGTGTAATGTGCATGTATTATAATTTGTTTTAAGACAGTTAATGGTTTTATTTTCAATTGTACTTGGCTGTGTTTCGAGTACACTCTTTTCAGGGGTGTGGGCCAAGTGAACCTACAACATATAGAACTGAACACCTCCTCCCCCTTTCGACTGTTGTTGAAAAGGGGAGAGTGGATCACACCTCTGGTCAATGTGGGCAAGTAGTTCACTGACACATTAAAGTCATATTTTTATTTAGCTTTCAAACTGTACAATGAAATTTGCTTAATAAAATTTGTCTTTTAAACAAAGAATTAATTCCAATTAATTTTATGAACACAGTAGTAGTAACAAAGTTATGTTTCAAACAAACATGGAAAATAAAAGTTGTCACTCATGATCCTAAATGCAGAATCGTGAGATAAATAATGGTTCTGACTTTTGTCAACACAGAACTAAAAATACGTGAATCTTTCTTCTTTACATAAGTGCTGAACTGTCAAATTTCTTGGACAATATCCTTTGTCCACTTCATAAAACTTTTAATTGCCTGCAGGCTTTAAGATAATCTTTCTCAACCTTTTCCAATTTATCTTCCTCCTTCATTTTCTTCTTCCTTCGGTAGACTCTGCCCTCTGCTGACAAGTTCTCTTCTTTAATGATCTCAAAAGCATCTGACACTCGATCATTGCCAGTCTGCTCTCCACTCCTCGTGCCGTTTTCAATGTGTCTAAAGCCTGCTTCAACCTGCAGTCAGTACAGTAAATGTAAATAAATTACTCTGAATAACCAATGACAAGACTCCTCAGGTTGCAAGAAGTGTTTGCCGGCCATAATTTTAAGTTCACTGCTTGCTAGAAAATTATGGCTTTAGAGATATTTTTATAGGATACATAATACAAACAAAAAACTGGGTATTTCATTTGTCTTGCAAAGCAGGAATTAATTTTATGAAAAACAAACTCAAAACATTCTGACACGTAATACGCATTCTTTCCTGAACACAATCCATTGCTTGTTAGAAACCAATTCATTTGTAGCATTTAAGTAGACCAACGTCTTTGAAATGAATTATACCTTGATCTGAATTTCAGGCTCTTTGGCACTTTGGATTTGCCAGTAGGAGCTGAATATCACAAAAACTATCAGACACATCTGGATTTGAGTGATTGATATACTAATAATTGCAAATCTTATAAAATGTACAGTTTTAAGAATTATGAATAAGACAAATGTCATACTGAGACAGCAAACACATTCCAATCTGTACAGTACCAGAACACACAAATTCTCTTAACAACATCATATTTGAGAACATGGAGTGAAGGATTCCCAGCATTTGCCTGTCCAAGATAGTGAAGGGGACATTATTTAACGCTAGGAAACAAGAAAATTTAACACAGGAAGAAACATTCATGCTTCAGACACCACGGGAACAATAAATGTGGCGATAAAGCACGGACTTCAGAATATTCAATAATACTTTTAACTTACATTCTTCGGCTCTCGTATTCGTCGCTTCAGTTTTTCTTCTTCTGCACGCATGGCTATGAGAACTGCGTTTGCCTGTTATTAGTAAAGACTGTAATTATAAGAAAATTTCTAAAAAATAATGTTGCTATGATCATGTCCCATAGCAGGTCACTCAAATTTACAAACTTGCTAAGATCTGGCCCATTCGCAGACAAGAGATAATAATAAAATGAAACGGACTGTGGATGCATTTATTTTGTGATGTTTTGTGTCACATATACACGACTACTTAGAATTTCAGTCTGTAAAACAATACTCTGTGTGTTTAATGAAGTTTTATGCGTCTGGTCATCGGCCATAAAATTATAATGTTTTCATATTTCTTTTAAGTTATTATATTACCTGGTAAACTAACTGCACATAAAAAGCAAGTGACTACAAAAACAACACTTTACCTTCAGAGCTGATATATTTTTCATTAGCAACTCCCTTGTCATAGTGTCAAGTTGGGTGGGAGAGATCTCTCCTTGAGTCTGCGAGTACATTTCAAATACTGAAAGAGAGAGAAAAAAGTGGTATTTTACATAAGAACAAGATTTTCAGCAATTAATTTAGAACATTTGGAAGTGACAATTCTTGCAGAAAATGGCGCCCTTATAAAAATTGTCATTTTAACTAAGCCTTAATTGACAAGAACAGAACATGAAAAATGATGGAATGGGAATATTACAGTGACATGAAAGAATCTGATACAATTACTGTCTATTCAAACTTCCAACGCTGTGCTAGTATAAACCATGGCAACTACCCTCCTAAACTAGAAAAAATCATTGCATGGTTCCTTCTCCTGGAGTAAATCAGCCAGAGCATGAAGCTGATAACCCACCTCCTAGGAATGTGTGCTTAATTAAACAAACCTTATAATAATTTACAATAAAACCGACAGTAATAACAACCATTTATATTTTTATACCAGCAGTATTTTCCACATTTACATAACGTTGAATGCCATGTCTTCACTCAACATTGTTAACTTATATGTAATTAGAGATTAAAAAGTTGACAGTAGAACCACGGTTCCGGAGAATCTGACGTAAATACGTCTCTGTAATGTAATGTAATAATTCTTATATAAGGTAAGTACTTGTGATATTCTAAAACGTTTTTACCAGCACAAAATTATCTAGTCTACGACGCACTCCTTCTACAAGCGATTCACAGCTGAGCTCTTTCCAGAATAACGAAAGCGGATTGTTGACGGCAGTAATGAAACACAACAATCCATCCACAAGATCCATATCAACAATGTGTAAATATGGACCGACAACAATGGTCAGCTTTTATATGAACTGCGTGCATTGTTATGTTACCAATGCCGAGTAAACAGATGATGTAACAATAATTTTCAATTCAATTCTTTAATATTAGTGTGCTGTATCAACAGCCAGAAGGCCAATTACAGATACAGCACAGAGATGAGCACACGAACAAAATAAAACCCAAAAGGTAAAACAAGCAGAATATAAAATACATTAATACGGAGGACGTTAATACACAAGAAAATTGCAACTAAATATATTAGCTTATTTGTAAAAATAATTTAAATCAATTAAGTAAATTATACTATTATAGAATGTGAAGAAGTGTGACAATTTTCGTCTCGAATATGTCCGAGTCCCTGCAGACGACATTAGCAGCTGATGCGCATCTAGCAGAAGGACTGTTTTTGATCAAAGGGCTAAAACTGAACATAGAAAAATCTCTCAGATTCCGAGAGCTTCCAGAAGGGAAGGACAGCGTTTAAAACCGCGGTGAACCTGCGCAAGGAACAGTAAATCACTACAATGCCTTCTCTTACGCAGGGTCTGGAGTTTTAAATACTCTAAAGCATCAGCGTAGCTGTAATGCACTTGGGGAAGGAGACGATAGTTGCAAAGGGCTGCAAACTTCTGCTGGATACGTTCCAGTTTGTTGGCATCAGTAGGGAGAAGGAAATTACTGTAGTTTTACTAATATTGAGTTTCATGAAGTTAGCAGTGCACCAACCTTGTACCGAGTCAATGTCAGTTTGAAGTTGATTGCAGTCGTTGGGAGATTTAATGGCACGAAAAATTTTGATATCATCAGCGAAAAGAAGGCATTTAGAATGATTAATTACTTGGCATATGTCATCAATAAACAAGTTGAAAAGTAGAGGACCCAAAACAGATACCTGTGGAACACCAGAGAGGACCACAAAAGGAGATGAAAGAGTTCCAGAAACCCACAAAGTTATGCCAATGAGTGTCCTGTTCTGGCAAAAAAAAGGTGGAACAGTTTGAAAGGCTCTTCAATGGTCAGCAAGATCTCTTCATCATATTTAACACTGCCTTCAATTAATATTTTATTTCTAAAAATATTGCAACAGTGCTAGTTTCTTGCACAGTGTAATAATATCACATACACGTTACAATAATGTGCCTCCATCATAAAGTACAGAGTTACATGGGAGAAAAAGAGAAACGACGTAACTCAAAGAGTCTGATCCTTTTTAAATCAACTCAAGCAGACGAAATAAAAGTTCTCAGACTTTTCTGAATATATATACAAGGGCTGTTCAATAAACACTGACATTAACTTATACCTTCTTAGGTAACATAACAATGCACGCAGGAGTTCATATAAAAGCTGACCATTGTTGTCGGTCCATATTTACACATTGTTGATATGGATCTTACACATCTTCGTAACGCTTTTTGGCAGAATGACCCTTCCGTATAGACGGATTTACGTCAAAAACCACTCTGACGACAATGACGAAGGCTCGTGGACGTGATCAACCGGTGACATTGGAAAGAAAATGACATTCCAGACTTGCTGTTTATATACAGTGTGTCCGTAAAATAATGGTTGGGTAACAAACAGTCATAGTTTTGGAACAAAGCACGATAGATACATGAAAAAAATTGTGATTTTCGTCGTCTTCAAAAAATGACGTCATAAACAATGTCACCTTATATTTGTTTATACTCGACAGTAAATTAAAATAAAGAGAAACTCTCCAAGAATCTTACCTGTTCAGTAGATTTCGATATGCGCTCCTTTAGTTGCCCTGCAGACATCAAGATGATACTCAAGCTCTTGCCATACACGACCGAGAACATCCGGTGTGATAGATGAAACAGCTTCAGTGATTCGTTCTTTCAAATGGTCCAAATTTGTTATTTGGACAGAGAACACTTGTTGCTTCACATAACCCCACAAATAGAAATTCATAGGGGTAAGATCTGGAGAGCGTGGAGGCCAGGCTATCGACCCTCCTCGTCCGACCCATTGCTGAGGAAATGTTTGGTTCAGGTAATCCCGCACGAATGCGGCAAAATGTGGAAGAACTCCATCTAACTGGAGAATGAAATTCTCCGGTATTTGGGGCACTGCATACCCTTCTAACATATCCAGGAAGTTCTTCCCCGTCACAGTTTGTTCAGCAAAACAGAAGGGGCCAATAACTCTCTCTTCCAATTGCGTACCACACATTAACTTTTGGACAATCATGTTGATGTTCCATAATGACATATGGAGGTTCATTACCCCATATTCTAACATTATGCCGATGGACTCGTCCCGAAACATGAAACATAGCTTCATCACTGAACATAAACTTGTCTAAAAATTCCCCATCATGATCTAACCCAGTGGTATTCAACCTGGGGTACGCGTACCCCTGGGGGTACACAAAGACATTTTAGGGGGGTACGTGAAATTTAAAAAAAATATATTATTTTATGATAAACACTGAATAATCAGTAATGTAATTTATTTAATTTATTTTAGATGTAGATTATATACTATGTATAACTTGAATTATACACTAACAACTTTGGGGGTTCAAAGTTGAAGAGAAATTACATCTGGGGGTACGCGAACAAAAAAGGTTGAATACCACTAATCTAACCTATCCAGAATGTCTGTAGCAAATTTGAATCGTTTAATTTTGTCCTGTGGATAAATTTTATGTAACACCTGAATTTTATAACCAGTAAAGCGTAGTCGTTTCTTTAAAACGTTGTGAACAGTTGTTTTTGAAACGCATAACCAGTTCCTAGCAAGCAGACAGGTTAATAATTAAAACAAAGCAACAAATAACTTGATTATTCATAAATGAAGCAATACCATCTACTTTAGGATATTCCTAAGAGTAAGCAAATGGTTACTAAAGATGTCAAAATCATTGCAAAGAGTATTCGCATCTGATGTGCATCAAACTGATGGATAACTTCAGCATGCCGGGCCAACAGTAAAAAGTGAGAAATCTCTAAAATTGCGAAATGGCACACGCACACCAACAGTCTCGAGTAAAGAGGGACAAAATTTATATTCGCCATATACGTTAATAAGAAAGAGGGCGTCTAGGTGACTCCTCCTAGTTCCAAGAGTGTGAAAATGCAGGCGTTCTAAGGCAGTGGTATTCAACTTTTTTTGTTCGCGTACCCCCAGATATAATTTCTCTTCAACTTTGTACCCCTAAAGTTGGTGTATAATTAAAGTTATACTTAGTACATAATCTACATCTAAAATAAAGAAATAAATTACATTACTGATTATTCAGTGTTTATCATAAAATAATATATATATTTTTTTAAATTTCACGTACCCCCTAAGATGTCTTCACCTACCCTCGGGGGTACGTGTACCCCAGGTTGAATACCACTGGCCTATAATGTATCATTGTGCTCGTTATTTGCTCTTGTAAACATTGTTTATAACTCACTTTCCCAACATTATAATACAAGACTGACCTATATTAACATGATATCCACACTTCCTTGTGTCTGTGTGTCTTGGTGTTGACCTTTCGACCAATTAATAATGTTCTTCATAAACATTTTACGAAAAATCGTTCAACTAGAGTCCACAACACATTTTTACCTTTTTTCTCTTCTAATATCGACTAAAGCAGTATAAGCCGTAAAACTGCACGGAAATAAAAGTTTTCGTATTTAACAGTGGTACAATTTACTTACGGAGTCACTGAACATTAAATCGGAAGGTGCATACAATTACCACCACACTTTAAAGAGTTAAAGCACTATGGTAACTATGTATGCCACATATTCAGTGACTGTAATATTTGTTCACACAGAATAAAGATACAGCTCTTTTTCCAAATACGTATTTGTTATTAACCGACTGGTTCCTGAATTTTTAAATATTATTTAGCCTACGTCATCTTTACACCTCAGAGTGTTGTCATGGATGATATAAACAAAATTGCGCGTTCTTGTAAACAGAGTAAGTGAATGGACGCAATATAATGTTTATACGTGCAACTGTGTTTAAGCCCCTTAGAACGTAATTAATTAACTAGTCAAGTCGGAAGGAGAGAGAGAGAGAGGGAGTGAAGATGTAAGGAACCGTATAGCCTTCTGTCCTGAAGTGATCAAGCTCTTTCATGTGGAATTTGCTTCTACTTGTCGCTTACTCCTATTACGAGGTAGCAGTAGATGTTAATACGCTTCGGTGATAATTGAACGGAACTGGACAGACAGCCTAAATAATATATCCGACAGAGTGGTTTCTATGTGAAGACGAGCAATCCTGTGAAAGGTTATGTTCTGAGTGCCGAACGACTTGGGTACTCTGTCGCAATAATGGTACATTCTGTGTGAAATGGCCGACTCGCTAATGAACTAAATAACCAACCGAAAATAAGTAACTTGCTACCACCCTACAGAGCGAAAAAAGTTGACAGTGGAACCACGGTTCCGGAGAATTTGACGTAAATACGTCTCTGTATTTAAATTATATTTACGTCTCTGTAATGTAATGTAATGTTATCTTCAATGTCATCCATCTTATTACGAAAGCGGATTGTTGACGGCAGTAATGTAACACAACAATGCCGAGTAAACAGATGACGTTTCCTAGGTAACATAACAATGCACGCAGGCTTACCATTGTCGGTCCATATTTACACATTGTTGATACGGATCTTACACATTTTCGTTACACGTTTTCCTTTCACTTTTTTGCCGAATGATCCTTCCGTATGGACGTATTTACGTCAAAACTAATAAAATAAATAACAAATAAGTTAAATAGATTATTAAGAAAATGGGCACGTACAATAGTTTACCTTCTCCACTTATAACAAATTAAGTAACAAAATTGACTGTGTGAGATTTCAGGTTCTCACGGCGGTAAGTATGAAGGCGACTCTCTTTGGAATGTAACGTTGTATAGTCTG